TATGTATGTGAGTCCTGGTAAATCTATATTGCTTATTGCAACTCCATGAGAGTAAAAGTAACTATATCTGGCTTTAAGCTGTGATTAGTGAGACTTGCTGTTTGAGGTAAAAGGCTCTTGGGACTATACCTATTTTTGTTTTGAGTCTGAATTTGGGTACTGTCTGCATTAAATTAGTATCTGAGCGAAATGCCACAAGAACAGGTGGAGGTCTATTAGAGGAAATGTGATTTATTTGGGAAAAAGGCCGAGGGGACAATCTTAGCCTCAGTCTAGGATGGGATCCTTCTGGCTCAGTTTCCCCATTGTGTTCCTCTGGAAAGGAATGTTTCCACCTGACTATTACTGAGTTTGGCTGTGAGGAGAAACAGATACTGCACGATTGGAGAACTGCAACTCTAGGAATTTAAACAAATCTAAGGATCTTTTATCTTGTCATTATTTGATACATCACCTGTCCCTGCTCCTTTTGCCTTCTATACTAAGTTTCTATGATCAGAGCAAGTAGTCAGCATGAGACATAAGAAAAGGATTGGATTACAGTCATATCTTAAACTGATTGTTGGAACTTGCTGGGACTAATGACTGAGTGTTTCTGAGTTTAACTCTAGGTGTCCTTAACTGAAACCTGGCGCACTTTAAGTCTGGCTCAATGCAGTTTGCAGTTTGACAAAACACTCTGTCTGGAGATGACAGGAAGTTGAGGGAAATATTGTTCCCTTATTCTAATCTCTTAGTGGCTAGTTTCTATCATCAGAAGGATTTATAAGGACAGTAACAGATTTACTAAAATAATTGATTATGGAACATCGGGTTATTATAGAGCTGGGACTAGTGTTCCTGTAAGAGTTAGGATCCTTTAGTTCTTGATAATGGTATGGAGACAATCAGGGGCTTGTGAGAATGGCATTTTGGTTATTTGGATAATATCACACTCATCTAAAGTTTTGTTACCATTGATTAATAATGTTAAAAGAAGAATGGCTTGTGGTTTATGTTGTAAATTTCATCAAAGAAACAAAGCATGACTAAACTTTTAAGATTCTATATGTACTGTGTTAAAAACTGATATGTATATACTGAAGCCTGTGATTAATCCCTTAGTGAAATCTCATCCCTCTGGTGAGGAAATTAATAATGGATTAATGTAAAGTATAAGACACTGGGTTCTGATGTGAATTTCTTAAACATGACAATTGACCATGATTCCAATTTCGAGTTCGTAAAAATGATCACGGTCATAAGGACTAGAAATAGTGATTTATTCAACTGGGTATGGAAATCTGTCTTACCCTACAGGAAAATAGGGGAGGAAGGGGACAAGAGAGCCAGGGGGATGATAGAGAGAAGGGCAGATTGGGAAAGGGGTAATCAGAAGGAAGTACTTCTGAGGAGGGACAGGATCAAAAGAAAGAATAGAATAAATGGGGGGGGCAGGATAGGATTAAGGAAAATAGAGTTAGTTTTTCACAACATGTCTGCTATGGAAGTGTTTTGCATAACTGCACGTGTATGGCCTGTATTGAGTTGCTTGCCTTTTCAATGAGGGTGGGTGGGGTGGGAGGAAGGGAGAAAGTTTGGAACCCCAGAGTTTTAGAAACACATGTTTAAAAAAACAATGTTTCCACATGCAGCTGGGAAATAAGAAATACAGGAAATGAGGTACAGAAATCTAGCCTGCCCTGCAGGAAAGGGGAAGGGGATAAGAGATGGGGTGCGGGGCAGGGAGAGGTAGAAGGGAGCGCAGACTGGGGAAAGGGGTATTCAGAATACATGCCATCTTGGGGTGGGAGGAGGGGCAAGATGGGGTGAAAATTTGGAATTCAAAGTAACCGTTGAAAACTAAAAATGAATTTATACATGAGTAGGAAAAAAAATTTAAAAAAAAAGAATATGAACTGACACACCCAAAGGACGGAGACAGCAGCCTTTTTTTTAAACACAGGACCCATGAAGTGGGCGGAGTTAAAAAAAAAACATGGACAAACATGCAATGGGCTGTCCAGGAAGGGTGTAACTCAGATGAAGTAAATCAATAGTAGCCCTGATGGGTGGAGTATGGATCTTCCTAATGGTTTAAAAGTAGTTTCTACCACTGAACCAGCGCCCACGTGCTACTAAATACATTGTGCCAGCTTCTCTCCAGAGAAGTTTAATAAACAATTCTTCACTCAAAAAAAAAAAGAAATAGTGATTTGAAGTTGTGCCAAGATCACTTCTGTAGGAGACTGGACAGAAAGCTGGTTCCTACAAGAAGAAGAAGATGCTGAGATGCTGTGCTGGAGATGGCTGGAGCAAACACCAAGGACCAGAGGACTTCATCGATGATGTTCCCTGCCAGACAGCTGTATAAGAAAAGACTCTTAGTTCTTAAAGGGATGATTACACTATTGTTTTCTTTTGGGTCTCTGTATCTGCATTTATGAAGGGGCTGCCCCTTTGATTTGTCAGTGCTTAGATTAATGCCTATATTTACTTAAAGGGGTGATGGTTAGAGAGAAAGAAGAAAAAGAGTGGAAAAGAATTTGAATTATTTAATGTGATTGTGAAAGGTACCAAGAGTGCCAAGTGTTAAAGATATCATAAGAATAATTTCTATATGAAGATGCAATTGATGTTATCTGAAGTTTATAGTTTATATTACAAAAGTTATTATTGTTTCTAAATTGTATTGTGTTTCTAAAATTCTTAGATTGTAAAATTTGAGAATTATTGTCCTACTCCTGGTATGTCTCCCCACAATGCAACTAATTCAACCCAAATTCTTCTTCCTCTCAGGACAAGGAGGCAAACATTTGGGGGTATAAGTATATGATGATTTAGAAAGGAACAAGCGAGCCATTGAAACCTCTATTGCTGCCATGGGAAATGCAAATGGGTGGGTAGATACTTGGCCCCCTGAAAGGATCATAAAGGAATATGGACCTGCTACCTGGGCACAAGATGGGAACTGGGGATATCAGACCCTGATTATATATACTTAATAGAATAATTAGACTCCAAGCGGTGGTGGAAATTATAACTAATCAAACCGCTATGATTACTGACCTCTTGTCTGTTTTTGTAGACCAAAGCAGGGAAGCTATCTTACAACACAGGTTGGTTTTGAATTATCTCTTAGCTGAGGAGGGGGATGTCTTCGGGAAACTGAACCTGTCCACTTGTTGTATGAAAATAGATGATGTGGGAAAACCATTAGACATATTAATAAGGAAATTCGAAAGATGGCCTATGTTCCAGTTCAGACCTGGTCCTCTTCATTTAATACTCCCTGGTGGTCCTGGTTTGGGGAATCTTGATGGAAGCAGGTATTATGGTTTTTGTTAATGGCAGTAAGTGGAGTCATACTACTCCCAGTGTGTGTCCACTGCATGGTGCAGTTAATTACTACTACTGTGCAAAAGACCCTTTCTAGAATGATTAACCTGTCAGTGAGTCTATTAGACTAATGATATTAAAGAGTCAAGGGTGGATGACAGTTAATCAGGAGGAAAGAAGGCCGATTTTGATGAAATAGCAAATAGGGAAACTGAAGAAACCTACCAGGTTTGGTGTGAGAAACTTTCAACTATGAAATGAGAAGGGGAAACTGTGTGGGACAAATGAAAGTTACTCATGTGAAATCTAAGCTATGCTCCAAAAATATAGTGAGGCTTCAGCATGAGCCTTTTATTTCTGGAGAATGGGGGCTGTGCACCAGCTGCCCACCCCTCCCTTGTTTCCTAACCACCCCCTCTTTTATTTTGTACCTTAACTACCAAATAAGGCAATCCTCTAGCTCCCAAGCTAGTTTTGAGTAAAAGGTATCTCTTGAGTTCTAAATATAGACTGTGAGGCCTCTTGCCTCAGCCAATGAGGATAAAGAGATTGAGACAGACAGGTGGGGAGGGGGCTTCTTGGAGTGATTTGTCTAAGAGTATATAACTGTTTGATGCTGTTTGTGTTGGGCCTCCCTACTCCAGTCCACCCTGGGTAGGTGAGGCCCAACTCTTGGGCCAGACTTGCTAGAATAAAACTTCTGTTTTCTACCTGGAGATACCTCTGAGTTTTTATTTGAGTAAGTGGTCTTAAATCCCACTCACAAACCAAAGTGGGTGAGTAGAGGATTGAGATCCCCCGCCCCTGTGTGCTCAGCTGAGCAGTTTCTCTAGGCTGGACCCTGAACAGATAAAGAAACCCAGGCCCAGGGAGGTTGTGATTTGGCCCAAGCACAGGAAGGGAAATCAATTGCAGTGGAAAAATTGAGCAGTAGCTTGCAAATCATGGGTTTTTTTTTTTGTCGATAGCAGTTTTATGTGTCATGCAAGAGGGTGTGGGGCAGAAAGTTGTCCAATCGATCTAATGCTGGGATAACTGGGACCTTCATTAACATAAATTGAAGTGTTAGTTTCTTTTAAAAATAATTTTAGGCACAATTTTTCTTTTTACTTCACTCTCATTTCTTAATCTATCACTCCCTAATCTTTATTTTAAAGAAAATTTTTTTCAATTAACAAGCGTTTATTTTCTTCTTCCATTTTTCTCACCACCAAGGGTAGGGGGAAACTTATGGTAACAAATGCGCAGAGTTCTTGCCATGCAATAAAAACTTTTTTAAAAAAATCATTCAGCAAATGCCAATCTCGGTCTTTTTCTAAATACTGTAACCTCATTAAGATAATATTTCAGATATACTGTGGCCTTTTAGGTGTAGGGCGAACATCCTACTTTGTCTACGCTCTAGCCTGATTTTGAAAACTGACTTCTATGCACCAGGATGCAGACCTGCGCCCCCGCCGCTCTTGCGGCTGCAGCGAATGCTCATTCAGAGAAAGATGAAGAAGGGAACCGGACAGGTTTTGGCCACGTCCCCCAAACCAAAAAAGGAGAGCCTTCGCAGGAGACTCCTACGTCACTCAAAAGCTGGCCAATCCCCCTCAAGGCTTCCGAGGGAACGCAGCCTATGACTCGCAAGCCCCGAAGCTTTGGCCCGCCTCTCTCCGAGACGGGAGGGAGGGGATAGATTCGGCTGCGGCGGGCGGGCTCAGTCGCGTAGTGGCAGTAGGGGGAAGATGGCGGCTGCTGCACCCCAGCGGGTGTGGACTGCGGAGCAGCTGCGCAGCGAAGCGCTCCCCAAGAAGGACATCATCAAGTTTCTGCAGGACCACGGCTCGGATTCGGTACCTCAGGGCAGGGACGAGGCCGGGCTTGGGATAGTTGAGGGGGCAACCCTTCTCCCCCCCCCCGCACCCCGACAACATTCTGTCTCCCGCCTCGTGCTCCTCGCCACGCGCACCCAGCCTCGTGGGCTTGCGGGGGGAGCCGCCTCTCCATTTACCGGAACTAGAACCTCGTATTTTAATCTCGAGCCCCGGGAAGAAGTCCCGCCTCCCCGGGCTTGAGGGAAGTGGGAAAGATGTGAAAGGAGACCTCCGAGACGAAGTGCGCGGGCCGGAAGCGGGGGGGGGGTGAGAGAGGAGAGCGCGAGGGGGATTGTGGGCCCCACGCTACCCTCCGTCCCTGCTGCCAGTCGCCTTGGGTCTTGGGTCGTGCCCTCCCTGCGCTTCCCCATTTTAAGAAATTTTTAGTTCCGTGTTCTTTTCTTCAAATTGTGATGAACCGCCTTCCCTGAAATCTTAATTCGCGAAGTGGGCTGAGTGGGCGTGGGGTCGGCGCGCTCTGTCCGTGGCTAGGGGCCGGTCCTGCCCCGTGCCCTTTCTCTAAGGGCATCCTGGGCCTCCGGGGGCCACCCAAATTTGGAATGACCTCAGTCATACTCAGATGCTCTGCATAGGCCAGGGCTACCAGAGCTTGGTGGTTTTTAAAATTTTGATAACTATTTCAATTGAAGGGTTTTTTTTTGATCCTGTGTATTTTTATTTTATGCGTTTAAAAGCATTATTCTGTGAGGGATCCATGGGCTTCCCCAATGGTCGGAAGAGTGCGGGACACCAAAAAGGTTAAGCGAGTTCCACACTCAGTCCGCCTCGATTATACTCTGATGCTCTGCATAAAACAGGGGTTCTTAATCCCTGAACTCTCTTTTTTTGTTACATGTTTTGATAACATTTAGCATAATGGGATTCCTTTGTCACCGTATGCATTTTATTTATTTAAAAGTAGTATTCTGAGGAGTCCATAGGCTTCCCCATACACAAAAAAAGAACCGCTTTCCTAAGGTCAGTTCAAATTCTCTCTCATCAGCGTCACTTATACTTAGGTCCTGTGCATAGAAGAAAGTTGAAAGATGAAACCTTTTGTAGAAGTGAGAAAGTGGTAGATTACAAAATAACTTCCTAGGAAAGGAGATAGCTTTACTAACGGACAGCGGGAGAGAATTTTCTGATACGGAAGGAGGCAGAATGAAAACTGGTGAAGAGCCAGGAGATTAAACACATCAAAACAGAGAGAAGGAAGTGATTTGTTTTATTTAAATTCTGTGTTTTTCAAATTAACCAAAATTCACATTCTTCCGACCTCCCACCCCTAATTCAAATATAAGGGGGGGAAAACTCTTCTAACAAATATGTGTAGCTAAGCAAAACAGAATCCTGTATTGGCTACATCCAAAAATAAAAATGTCTCAATCTGCACTTTGAGTTCCTCACCTCTCTTATCAGGAGGTGGCTATCATGGCATATAGTTGTGAGATGAGGAAAGAGAGATTAATTTTTTCACCTTTGTAAATAAATTGTATTACTATTTCTAGTTTTTTTTTACTTTTTTGATAGTGTAACATCTGTGGTACAAGTGGAATTACAGCCAATTTTTTAACAACTGCTCTTGCACTGTCCAAAATAGGCAATATCAAAGCCAGTGGTGTTGATAGAATTATAATTCTTTTGTCTTTGAACAGTGCCTCTATAATTTTAACAGTAACATTTTTAAATTACAGTGTGAGGCAGCTAGGTGGCATGGTGGATAGAGCGCTGACCACAGTCTGTAGGACCAGAATTTAAATTTGGTCTCTGATACTTACTAGTTGTGTGGTCCTTGGCAAGTCATTTAACCCTAATTGCCTCCCCAAAAATAATAATAATAATAACAATAAAAATAATAAATCTACAACATGACTACTACCTTGAGTAAACAAACAGAAAAACTTTAATACTTCTGTTCCATACACTTCATTTCAGGTCCACAAGTGTTTGCGAGTGCCTATTTTGTCAAACAGTGAGCTTACATTCTTTTGGGGGAGGGGGAAACAACATGTATACAGATAAGAATATAGAAAATAGAAAGTATTTAGAATAAGTACAAGAAGCAATTTGGGGTATTGAGAGGAATTGGAAATTGGCTTCTTTTAGCAAATTCTTCCCTTTGAAGGAAGCTAGAGATTCCAAGAGAGCATCTTTTAAAGACATCCCTTGCTTGGGGAAGTTATTATATGTAACTTTCCTCTCTTAATAGTTTCTTGCAGAACATAAATTACTAGGTAACATAAAAAATGTGGCCAAGACAGCGAACAAAGATCATTTAGTCACAGCCTACAACCACCTTTTTGAAAGTAAGGTAAGTGTCTCCGTTCTCTGTATAGTCAAGTGATTATCTTTGGCATTTTGTTCTTTTGGAATTGTAGATATAAATGTAAGTATGTGCTTCCATATGCATAGTTATAGATACATTAGAGCTATAATTATTAAATTGTACATGAGTATGTATTGGTGTCAGTTAAATATATGTATTGTTTGCTGGTTTTCTAAAATGCAGAGATAGATGAAAAATCTGCCAATTCTAGGGAAGTAATTTACATCATGATGAGATCTTGATTTTATTATTAATAAGTTTGATCTCTTATAACATAAAATGAGGTAATGGGTATGAAAAATTGAGATGTTATATCAGATGTCATTATCATGTTACTGAAGCAGCCGTTTTCTGCAGTTTAGTCTTGTGGAAAGGATGTTAGACTGGAGTGAGAGTATGTACATTAGATTCCTGGCTCTGATACTAGCTGTATGAATTCTGAGAAGGGGTCTGTAGGTTTTACCAGACTGTCAAAGGAGTCTGTGACACAGAACAGGTTAAGAACCTCCATTTTAATGAGTCTGTGAAGTGCTATACATTTAGATTCTGGTAGCAGCAAACATCTAGGAAAGTACCCTTCTAATTGTTAATTGTTAAATATGCAGCTTTAGCAGAAAGGATTCCTTTTTTTTAAGTGACTAAATGAGTAGCATCAGCATATCTTCTTCACCCCCTTCAACCTCCGCCCCACTCCTCACCCCCAAGACTATATATTTTTTGAGGGTTGGAACTGTTTCATTTTTATTTTTGTACTACTGCCCACCATGGTGGCTGATATATAGTAGGCGATTCATAAATGCTTACTGATTGATGCTCTATCTATTCTCCTGAGTTTGTTTTATGAGAATGTGATTTTGGATAATATAACATAACAGGCTTACAGGAACAATCCAAAGATGAATTGACAAAAAGAATGTTAGGGTGGAGCATTGCAGTGTTATGATCTGAGTTAGATCAAAATGTATTAACAGTGTTATTGCAAAACAACTGATTCCGGCAACATTGTATGGGGTCTGCCTGCATTTGTACCACTGATTCAGGGATATATCTATAGGGTTGTTTTTTGGTTCTTATTTCAAGTATTATTTTAGAAAATTAGCTCATGATTTATATAATAAAAACAGAATAGTTTCTTTTTATGTTTTATATTCCTTAGGCTAATTATTTCATGTTAAATTCATGTCACAGGTTTTCATTTGGCACAGAGTAGCCAGATTTCCTCAGGTGCAGTTTTCATGAAAAGAGCTTGTCTTTGATATGTTAACGTGTAAGGGATTTTTATTACAGCGTTTCAGAGGTACTGAGAGTGTTGCCAGAGTGACAGAGCAGGTGAAAAGTGTGAAGCTTGATGAAGAGAAGTCCAAAGGAGTCAAGCCTGAAGAGACTTTGGATGAGGTCTGTAGAGGGTCATAAAATATTTTGCAACTTTATTTTTGCTTTTATATATACATTTTAATGATATTGTTACTTAGTGGAATCTAGAGGTCTAACCTTGGATTACTCTTTTATTTCCAATCCTGAGCCAAGTTTTTCCTAAACTTTCAGGCAAATTTCTAGCCAGAAGATTCTGTATGCAAATTGAAATAGATCTTTAGGAATTCCTTCTTCCTATACCTGGAAGCCTGAACCTATTGCTTAAACTTTTGGGACTAAAAATAAGTAATTGAAGTATTTAGACTTCCTTGGAACTTTCAGACCTAGGTTGACATCCAGTAAAAATTATTGTCTCTTTTGTCCATCTCACTTCTCGTTCTCTTGTCATTTGATTTTTGACTCCACCATTCAACTAGAACTGCTTTCCCCAAGGTTACCAATGGTCTTTTCTCAATCCTTGGCTTACTTGACCTTTGACGTATTTGACACTGTTTAAATGTACAGCCAGGGCCTGGGGGTGGGAGGGTTCCTGACCTTTATCTCTCCTGGTTCTTTGAATATCTCTATTATCATCCTTGTTTTCCCACTTTTGCATGGATGTCCCTGCTCTGTCCTAGGTCCTTTTTTGTCTTTCCTTTTGTCATCTTTTTCATTCCCATGGTTTTAGTTATCTCCTTGTCTACAAAGAGACTCCCAGATTTGCTTATTGAGCTCATTGCACTTCTGAGTGCCAGTTCTCTATCACCAAAATTTCCTGCTTCATATCTCTATCTTGGTGCCTTATAGGCATATCAAAGACTGAATGACTAAGCAAAACTCCTTTTCCCCATGAAACTCATCTCATAACCTCCAGGACACTGCTGTAATTTGAGCCACCTGCAGCCTTGGAGCCATCTTTGACTCTTCATTCTCTCTCTCAAAAATAAATTTTTTTTCAATTATGAAGCATTTCTTTTCTTCTCCACTCCATTGGGGAGAAAAAAACCCCAACAACTTTGTAACAGACATAGTCAAGCAAAACAAATTTCCATATTGGCTTTGTCCAAAAACAGTTGTCTTATATCTGTATCTTAGTCCATCACCTCTGTCAGGAAATTCACTACCCATATCTAATTAATTGCTGTGTTGTTAATTTTACTCCTGCAACATCTTTACATATATATGTTTTATGTGTATGTGTATATATATATATATATATATATATGAAAAAAATGCAGTGAGTGTGGGTATTACTACCACCCTAATTCAGGCCTTAATGTCCTCTACCCTGAAGTGACTTCTTAATTGGTCTTCATTCCTCCTGTCCATCTTCCACACCATCTGCCAAATTGATATTCCCAGAGCACAGGTTAGCCCTCCTTTGTTGAAGCTTCAATGGCTTCCTGTTGCCTCTGTGATAATACCTCTGTTGGGTATTAAAACCCTGTGTAACCTGGCTTCAGCTTGGCTTTCTTTTTTTTTAATTTTCAAATTTTTTTTGCTTTTTGGTGAGTCAGTCGGGGTTAAGTGACTTGCCCAGGGTCACACACCTAGTAAGTTTCAAGTGTCTGAGGGCAGATTTCAACTCAGGTCCTCCAGACTCCAAGGCCAGCGCTCTATCCACTGCGCCACCTAGTTGCCCTTCTCTTTTTTTTAATTGGGGAAATGATATGGTCAGAGTTAGATTTTAGGCACGCTAATTTGGCAACTTTGTAGAAGATGGATTGCTAGGAGAAGGGAATGGAAGAAGAGTGACCAATTATAAGGCTTTTGCAATAGTCTAGGCAGGGGTTATGAATCCCTGAATTAGTGGCTGTGTGTGATTGGACTCCAATTTTAGTGTATAATCCACTGTACTACACTGCCTCTTTTTTTTCCATCTCTGACATTTCAAATCTATTCTTTTTTAAGTCCCAAATCTTAAGTCCCTTCCTGATGTCACAACTATAGTGTAGGACCTCATTATTTCGTACCTCTACAGTTGCAGTATCTTAAAAGTGCTCCTTGCCTCCTTCCATGCTTTTCCTAAAACACTATTTCATGCACATTGCTTCCTTATGCAGTAAACTCCAGTGAGTCTCTGTTGCCTCTAGGATAAAATGAGAATTCTTGTCCTTCACAACCTGGCCCAGTCTTCCTTTCCAACTCCTTTCCATGCTCTATAGTCTAGCTGCTAAGCTATCTTCAAAAGTTTACTTTTGCTGTTCCTCAGAGTTTACACCAGCTCCTGTCTGTACCTTTGAATAGACTGTTCCATATTCATGGAATACACTCTTTTTTTATTTTGTTTTTTATTGACACTTTTTTTTTATTTTTAGCATTCACTTCCATAAGATTTGAGTTTTGAATTTTCTCCCTCTCCCACTCCTCTCCGCCCTGCCTAAGATGTGTGCAATCTGACATAGGCTCTCTTTATACATTCGCATTAAGCATATTTTGCCATTAGTCATGATGTAAAGAACAATTAGAACTAATGGGAGGAACCACAACAATGAAGCAAAAAAACAAAACAACAAAGGAAAAAGAAAGCAAATAGCATGCTTTAATCTGCATTCAGACTGCATTGTTCTTTCTCTGGATGTGGATAGCAATTTCTATCATGAGACGTTTGGAGATGTCTTATATCCTTGCATTGCTGAGAAGAGCTAAGTCTATCAAAGTCAGTCATTGCACACTGTGGCTGTTACTGTGTACAGTATTCTCCTGGTTCTGCTATTTCATTCTAATGCACTCCTTTCTTACTTTCCTCCTAGAATCCCTTACTTCCATGACCACCACTTACTATGTGAAGCCTTTCTTGATTTTCCTTCCCCTCAAATTACCTTGTATTTTTGAATATAGATATATGTATATATGTTGTACATGTGTATGTTTATAAATTTATCTTGCATGTTTATATAAAATATATAAAATAAAATGTAAGCTTCTTGAAAGCAGGGACTGTTACATTTTTATCTTTGCATACCTTGCATATAGTAATTGTTTAATTAGTATTTATTGATTGAGACAGGAAGGACTGATGGGAGATATGGGAAGGCAGAATATAAATTCTGGGTCTTCCTGTCTCCAAGGCAAACACTTAATTCACTCTACCATGCTGCCTTTGTCAATTCTTTATTACTAATGTCTCTTGAATCAGTTCCTGTCCATTCCTGCTGTCACCACTGTAATGTAGGATCATATCTTATTCCTGGACAGTCTCCTAAATATTCTCCTTGCAGTCTAGTCTTCCTTTTTCTTTTCCTTTGGTGCTTTATATCATTGCCCCCTTAATCTTCCCTGAAGCATTCTCTTACACACACATCACCCCACCCATTCAAACAAGCTTCAGTGATTGTTATTGCCTGTTGGATAAAATCCAACATCCTTGTCTACCAGCAAGAATAGCTTAAGAAAGGATTCATCCTATTCTTCTGATCTTATTTGGTAAAAAGTACTCCCCTAGGGGGCAGGTAGGTGGATAGAGCACCAACCTTGAAGTCAGGAGGACCTGAGTTCAAATCCCGCCTCAGACCAAACACTTGACACTTACTAGCTGTGTGACCCTGGGCAAGTCACTTAAACCCAATTGCCTTTAAAAAAAAAAGTTCTTCCCTAAGCAAGCTAATTCATTTATTTACTGTTTCCCAACCACACATACTCCTGCCTTCAGGCCTTTACTTTTGTTGTTTCTCCAGAAATTACTTTGCCACTTCTCTCTCTTATTCTGCATCTTGAATCCATCATCTCTCTATCTATAGGTATATAGCCAGTGTGAGGAACATGTGGCCTTCTAGGTCCTTTGCCTGAATCCAAACTTCACAGAACAAATCCCCTTAATAAAAGGATTTGTTCTGTAAAACGTGGATTCAATCAACAGGCTGCATCCAAGGACGTAAAAGGCCACACGTGGCCTTGAAGCCACAGATCCCCCATCCCTGGTGTATAGTATAAATGATGAATATCAGTCTTCCAGACTCATGGTTGGTTATTTTATTGGTCAGAGTTCTTAAATCTAGCAAAGTTGTTTGTCTTTACAGTATTATACAAGTAATTCTTCTGGCTCTGCTTGCTTCACTGTTATCAGTTTGTACAAGTTTCTCTGAAACCATCTATTTTGTCATTTCTAAGGCAAAATAGCATTTAGTTTCCAGATCTTTGACCATTTAAAAAAAATTGCTATAAATATATTTGTACATATAGGTACTTTTCCTCTTAGATTTCTTTGGAGGCACTCTTACTGCAGGAAACTCTAAAACATAGTACATTGGCGTAATTAACCCTTGATAGTAAGATTCCTGTGCTTACAATTCTGTTAGTCCAGCCTAGTTAAGGATCAGTTCTACATCTGTGTTACCTGGCCACCCTGTGAGTTATTATTTATAGTTCTGAAGAAGTCCTTAGAAACTGGGTTAGTTTCAGGGCCATTCGTAGCATTTTGACTTAATTCCAGAGTGGCCCTAGAGCTCTGCTATTCTTTTAAAATGATTCCACTGTGTTCACCAGTAAGTAAACTCCATATCCCACGTCAGTCCCAAAATTTGAAGTTCTTCAGCCCCATTCTATAATGGGTTGTTATCTTCAAGTTGAACAGGGAACATGGAAGATTGAGGTAACACTGGACATTTGCTGTAACGTCTGTCTTTGCTGTGGGTTAAATAGGTTAAATGATTTGCTTCTGTGACCAGAAAACCCAGTAAACATTTGAGTAAGTTGGCATTTAAAATTTGATTCCTGTTTATGAATCAGAAGTCTAATCTATTCTCTAATTTAAAAAAGCAGTTTAAAAAAAAAACTACAGAGGATGTTAACATTACTTTTCAAGTAATTTATTTTTATGGTTTATTAGGATACTTTTTCTCTAAGAAAACAAACTCCTTAAAAAGATTTGTTTTCTAATCTTGAAATTCTTTTTATATGTTGTCACAGCATATCAATTTAGTGATCCTCATGTAAGCTAGCTTTTGAAGTGGGCTAAGTTGAAACACTTGAAACAGCTTCCAGTTTTATTCATGAAAATTATTTTGTTAAGTATTAAAAATTGGGGCAGCTAGATGGTGAAGTGGATAGTGCTGGGCCTGAAGTTCAAATGTGATCTCAGACACTTACTAGTTGTATGACCCTGAGCTAGTCACTTAACCCTGTTTGTCCCAGTTTCCTATCTTTAAAATGAGCTGGAGAAGGAAATGGCAAATCACTCCAGTATCTTTGCCAAGAAAACCCCAAAAATGGGGTCACAAAGAGTCAGACATGACTGAACAATGACTTCCAATTTTCATAACCATTCTTTTCCATGAGAGGGGAAGATCCATCAAGTTCGCCAGCACAATTTCCTGAATATATTATTAGCTTTAACTTTATACATTTTGAGGCTAAGATTCTAGGATTTTCAGTAAGAATGAACTGAAGAATGTGACAGCAGTCTGTAGTTCCAGAAGAGAAACTTTTCCGTGATACAAATAAGTTTTCCCTGCAGAACTGAAGAAATGCCTTTTAAAATGTATAACACCAGAAGTTTTGAATATTCTTTTGTCATTCTTAGGAGTACTTCTAGATCGTTTGTACAGTCAGTCACCAATCACTTATTAGGTGCTATGTGCCAAGCATAGCACTGGTCATACTACAGGTGTAAGGTTGCGAAGGACTTTAAAAGCCAAATAGAGGAGTTAATATGAAGTCTTGAGGGAGTAATAAGGAGCCACTGAGACTTGAGTATAGGGGAGAGATGTGGTCAGACTGTTACTTATGTAGTACACAGAACACTTTAGCAACTGTGTAGAAGATGGATTTTTGTAAGGAAAGACTTGGCTTAGAGTGCCTAGCTAACTAGGCTCTAGGAAGCTGTTGCAGAAGTGAGGGTCTGAACTAGGTGATGTCTAAATGAGTGGAGATGGATTTGAATACATTGATAAAATCAACAACTGGCAACTGATTAGATAGGCAGTATGTTAGAATTTTCAGCCAAATTTTTTTTTTGACATTTTTATTTTAAATTTAAAAAATTCTCCTCAGAAAATACTCCTTTTTGAAAGACTCTGCTCTTAGAAATGTTGCTAAAAATCCTATCTTTACAAACTTAAAGCATATAAAAAGTACAGTACTTTATACCCCCAACTTATCAAAAAGAAAGCAACTATAAGCTTTAAGATAAACACTGCACATAGTAGGCACATGATGTTTACTGAATTGAATAAATTAGATTAGAAAGAGGTATCATGTAGAAGTAGGGCATGAACTGAGTCTTTTTTCTTTTAAATAGTGTTTTGTTTTTCTCGGTTGCATCTGGAGTCAGTTTTTAACATTTTTTTTTTAAAGGCAATTGGGGTTAAGTGACTTGCCCAGGGTCACACAGCTAGTAAGTGTCAAGTGTTTGGTCTCAGGCCGGATTTGAACTCAGGTCCTCCTGACTTCAGGGCCGGTGCTCTATCCACTGCGCCACCTAGCTGCCCCGTTAACATTCATTTTTTAATAAAAATTGAGTTTCAGATTCTCTCTGTCCCTTCTCCCTAGGAAGGTAGGGCTTTTGATGTGGGTTGCATATGTGTAGTCATGTGGAACATACTTCCATACTGGTTGTATTTGGGGGCAGGAACCAGAAGGAGGGGACTACAAAAGAAATGAAGAAAGGGAATAGGAAGCAGCGCAGTAATTTTGAGTTTGAATTTATCAAGTTACTGTGCTTAGTGCAGCTGGAGATAGAGATGATTAAGGCACCATCTCGATCCTCAGGATGTTTGCATTTTAGTATTTTGAGAATAAGCCGTTCTTAAATGTTTGAAATTTGGTGTGAACTTCATTTTAAGGGAGCAAAATATGGGATGATATTTGATGTAAGGTGAGCATAATAGTTTGTATTATACAATGTGATTTACAAATAAGTTTTCAGGATCAGAGCTATTGTTTAAAAGTATACATTTGTGTAAAATATTATTAAATAATAGACACTGATCCATTAGTTTTATGTAACCCACCTTAATGTTAAGAACTGTTGAGAAATTTCAGGAATCAGGGCAGCTAGGTGCCACAGTGGATAGAGTGCCGGCCCTGAAGTCAGGAGGACCTGGGTTCGAATCTGGCCTCAGACCAAACCCTTGACACTTACTAGCTGTGTGACCCTGGGCAAGTCACTTAACCACAATTGCCTAAAATCAAAAAAAAAGAAAGAAATTTCAGGAATCATTTTGGGATGGATGGATTGTTAAATCTTAATTGTCTTTTGAATTATAGCAAGCACAGTTTTAACTCATCACAGAACTATTCCTGTCATTTTACCTATCAACCTTTTCTTTTCCTCATTCGAGTTTTCAGTTCTATTTTCTTGGCTTTCTTCTGCAACTCCTACACCTTGCATTTAGTAGACATTTAATAAATGTTTGAATTTAATTGGTTTGAAAGGCAGAATTTTCAGATATGTAGTAATATTTATGAAACCAAACCAACTTTGAAATCATGGACATAAATTTTTAAATGCTCTTCTGGTGTGCAAAAGACATTCAAAAAATTAAATGACTCCAGTACACTTGACTTGAAAAAAAAAGTATTGTTGACCTAGTTTTAATAATTCAAATCTGGTCTCAGACCAGACACTTGACAGTTATTAGCTGTGTGACCCTGGGCAAGTCACTTAATCCCAGTTGCCTTGTGCTCCCCCCCAAAAAAAAAGTTCATTTGAATATATTTAGATATCAGAAATCTCTATGGGAATTTTTCAAAAAGAGACTAAGTTGCTGCAAATTCTGTGTTTTTATCTTTTATTTAGGGTCCACCAAAATATACAAAATCTATTCTTAAGAAGGGAGATAAAACTAACTTTCCCAAAAAAGGAGATGTTGTTCATTGCTGGTACACAGGAACATTACAGGATGGAACTGTTTTTGATACTAATATTCAAACTAGTAAGTGTTGGTTACTTCATTTGTGTTTATAAGTTGGGGAAATAATCAGGGAGTATCCATTGGCTTCTTATGCACTTTCAAACTCTCCACAAGTTTGTTTTTAACCTGGAATCCAAGTGCAGGAAGATTCTACAGTGTAGTACAGTGGTCTGAAACCTTTTAAGTGTGTGGATTTTTTTCACATCAAAACCTTTCATGGACTATACCATCTTCATTCATTAGTACCCATTCATTGAAAAAATATGCGATGACAAAAAGTTACTATGAATTAAAAAACTTTTAATGACTTTTAGTAATCATAACAACATCTATATACATTTAAAAAATGGTAATACATACATGAGCCATGCTGCATTTTTATTGGAACTAAGGTTTGAAAAAAGACATATGTGGATCTGAAGACCCCTGTAATAATTTTGCTGTTCCTCTTCCCACCTTAATCCTCCCCCAGCACTCCCCCCCCAGGGGAGGTTCCCTGTGGTTGGGAACCATCAGTGTACTTCAAACTACACTGAATTTGTAGTCAAGAAACCTAGATTCTAGTCTACACAAATCCAACTTTTGTGACTGACCTCTTGGGTCTGTTCCCTCATTTGTAAAATGGGGATAAAAACACCAGCACTTTTGTACAGGCTATTCTGAGGATTAAATTAATTACATGAAAATGCTTTGTAACCATAAAGCACTATATAAATAAAAGACGTCTCTATTAACAAGTCTTCTTTTCACTGGCTGACTATAGGCTGTTGATAGCACTGTGCCTTCAAACACAACTGATATTGATAGATTAATTCAAAATCTGAGTAGAAATGGGAGAACCCTAATTCCCCAGCCTTGAATGATGCAGCATTGTAGGGCCTGAAATACTTGGACTAAGTGTCATTCAAGCCTAATAGAACAAACAGAAACAAATAAAGCTTCTCAGTGATAAGCTTGAATATTTAAAACATAATACAGAATTCTCTCTGAGTCATCTGATTTTTTTGGCTTTTACTTTGTTTTATACTACCAAAAAGCCTGCATGATGACATCAGCAGAATGTAATTGGTTACTGTTACTGTTTAAATAAAAAAAAAATCAAGTTCTCAAAAAATAGATCATATCTTAACATTGTTTTACAGGTGCAAAGAAGAAAAAGAATGCTAAGCCTCTAAGTTTTAAAGTTGGAGTGGGCAAAGTTATCAGAGGAGTAAGTAATCGACATATACTTGCATTTCTGTCCCACAGAAGGCATTGTGCTAGGTGCTATCAAAGACATAAGGTATCATCCTTGCACTTAACAGCCTTACAGTGTAAATTTGGAATCATTCTTTTCTCTTTCACTAAAGGATTAAGAGAAATTATAGCTGAACTCCTTGGATGCCCAAAAAGTGAGTAGGAGTCAGGATGTACGTTCAGTATGACACCAGAGTGTTCCTAAAACTAGATTTTATTTCTAAATGAATTACATATAATTCAATAAGGTGATGAATTTTGCTTTTGCTTGTTATTGGTAATTTTTGTTAAGCTTTATATACCTGAATAATGTGAGAGTGATTCCCTACAAATATTATTTGGGCCTAGGAGCTGTCTCTACTTTTTTTTAACATACTTTTCACTTAGCTTCCTGGTAGGTGGCACAGTTGTGGACATTGCTCAAGTTAGAACCTGGAAGACACAGATTTGAATTTTGACTTCATCTGTAAAATGAGGGGGGTTGGACTTAATGGTCTCCCGTACAGCCCTAACTCTGTAGTGTTCATAGGAACAAGGAAAGAATGAAGTGATTACTTTGCCAGTTTCATGCGTGGGGACAGGTCTCAATTTCTGTTACTCGAGACTTCCTGCAGTCTCTTGTCTCTTACCCTTTGCATACAAGCTCAACAATGGGATTTCATTACAGTATATCATCTCATATTGAGTGAGGAGACCTAAGGGAACTTTCAGGTTCTGTGTAGTCGGGTCTTGCACAGAATTAGACATCAAAATCAGCTACCTTAGGAATCCCAGCACTGAGGTATTCATTTTAATGAATAACATTTGGGATTGTTTCATTCCTTGTATTTGTATCCCTATCACAGGGCCTGACATAGCAGGCACTTCTTGATTGATCACCAGAGTCCAGGATGAATTTGGTAAACTAGGACAATTGAACAGCTAAGCAGATGGGCCTCACCAGCTTACATTTCTGCTGCCTTTTAAGGCCCTTCCTTCTTATACAACTTACACATATGCATAATGGATTTTCTCCTTTCCCCCAAGCATATCCACTGTTTGAGATAGCCATAGCTCCACTTAGATTAATTGAGAATTGATTCTGTGTGCCTTGTCAGCTTTTGCATATTATAACTCCTGATTCCCCCATGATAAACAGCTTCAAGAACCAGAATGGGGAATGAGGTGGGGAGGACCTAATATTAAAAAAACTTTTTAAAGCTATAGAGGAAGGTTAATGATAAACAAGTGTAAAAGTCTGTTATAAAAACAAGCCCTTGGTAAAAGCAGACTTGTAGCTTATTAAAAATGAGGCTTAATTGTTCTCACAAGAAATAGTGATCACCTAGAATATGTCTCCTCTTATTTAGAAGAATCATTATATGTAAGATTTTTTTATAAAGCTCCGATTTCCTCTTTTGTCATGTTTTGTTTGTTTTCACTTTTAGTGGGATGAAGCACTCTTAACAATGAGTAAAGGAGAAAAGGCTCGCCTGGAGATTGAACCTGAATGGGCTTATGGAAAGAAAGGACAGCCTGATGCAAAGTATCCTTTTTCCTTTCAAATAGAGAAAAGAAATCCAACCTCCTACTTTGTGCAGTCATTCATTCATAGCTTCTGGTGGGTATCTTTCTAGTAATAGCTACTTTTAAAAGCAGGTGTTAGCTAGCTAGAAAGTGGCGATGCCATGTATTACCTATCCTCTGGAGCAACTCATGTTACATTTTGTAAAACTTAAAGTACTTTTCTCCTGTTACTCACTTTTGAATAGGAAAGGGAAACAGACTTTTTATACAGGTAAAGCTTATTTAAGCTTACTCTGGAACACGGGAGAAAGTGTTTAGGAATTACCAGCATGCGGTGCTCAGCCCACCACACAGAGAAATGACAATTCTGCCATGGAGGGGAACAGGTAATTATGGTTCAAGATACTCCAAGGGCCTCTTTTCCTATACTGAGAAACTTCCTGAGATTTTCTGAAGGTAGTTTGCCCAACATCTCTATAAAGTGAAGTCTTAAGTTTGAAATATTAGTTAATATATGTGTGTATACATATATCCCCAGAAATCTTCAGCATTTTCAGAATAGTCCACAGAGTATTCTGATTTATATAAAACAGGTATTCATATAGATTTTTTTTGGCTATTTATTTGACTATTGTGATAAAAATAAGTGTCTGACTTATTTACCTTGACTTCTCAAACAGAATTCCACCAAATGCAAAACTCAATTTTGAAGTGGAATTAGTGGACATTGATTGAAGTGATAGATGTTTTACTGACCGAACTACATACTTCAGGAACTATTTCTGCAAGCCTGTGGCCTTGTCTATACTTGAACATCTGACCTTATTCTTGGGGGTGGGGAAAACATTCACTTTGAGAATAAATCCCTCGAGTTGAGCGTGTATTGTTGAGGCTATATACAAGGCTGATTGGGGTTGAGTTTTCTCTTATTTAATAGCCATATTTGTAAAGGCAAAATCCTGAATACAAATACATTAACACAAGTAACTGGATGGCTCACTGAATTTTCTAGGGCTGCAGGCAATGCATAAGATTCCTTCCAATATATGTTTTAAATATTTTTAGAAAGTGCTTTCCTCACTAGTAATTTAAGAGTTAAATTTGTGATGTGTCTTAACCCTAATAAAAAAATTTTAAAACAAACACCTGTTAAAACAAAAAGCAGCAGGCTTTTTGTTCTTGAAGTCATAACTAAGAAATTTGCCTGTTTTTACTAAAGTGATGATCCTGCTCTTAGCTATTTATAAAGATAATCACATTTTTCAGCAACTGGGTAACAAATCAGATTCTCTACCTCCTAACTTTTTGCTAAACTCTTAACCTCTTCCCAATTAAAAATGTCACTGCATCTGTGATGATGAATAATTGACACAGCTTTTCTTGCTGGTTGAAAATAATACCCACTTTGAAAGATTTTGAGTGCTTAGCAGAAGTCAGGTGGCTAAAGAGTTGGGGATGTGGTTTTAAATCCTCCTCTGAGTATGAGCAAGGCAAACTCTTCCTGGACCTGTATACAATAAAGATTATGCGAGGAGCAGAGTTTTTTGGCATTTAAAGTAAAATTAATAAAGAATATCAAAATGTGTCTCACCCAGCTTGTTGCCTGCTTTAATTGGCACAAGTTTAATTTCTAAAGTGTTTTTTAAAAGATCAATTCATAAGCAATTGTTATATAAGTCCTTGTTTTATTATGAAAATGAAAATGATCAGTTTGATCAAAAAAGTCTGCTCACAAGTTACACATGAACATTCTACATACAAAAGTCTACTGTATAACGATTTCCATTTTTAAAGGGATGCAAATATTTTGACATTTTATCACTTATGAATATCCATTTAAGGATTAAATGTTTATATTTCTATAAGTAGATGCAACATCACAACAAGGACAACTGGAACACAACCCTTTTTAGGTTGAAAGTTTAAAATCATTTTTGATAGATGAGGTGAAGACATTTTAATAACCAGCCCTTATGTATATTCAGAATTACTTGCTACACTGACATGATTTTCAGTCAGTTTTTTTCCTCCTTAAGGCTACTAGACTTGGTTTCAAATGTGTTGAGAGAATTCTGGACCACAATGCAAAAATAAAAAAAAGTTCTCCAATAAAAAGTAGGAAATAGTATGTTATCTGTTATTAAGTGAAATATTGTCCCAATTACTAAGTAAATGTTACATGTGAACAGGGAAGACAAATTACCAAATATTATCAAATTATGTTTTGTTTATATCCCTCATTAAGAAAAAAAAAACTTTGTTTTTTCCCCACCCCAGACAACACCATCAGGTATTTTTCCATCAGGTTGGAGGGGGAGGATAATACTGTCCATAATTCCAGGGATTCTGGTAATTGTACTGTAAAGAAAAAACAAATTAGCACAGTTATCTGGTTACTTTTATCATGAAATACATTGTTATTTACCCAAATTATGTAATTTTTAAAGAAAACCTAATTTTAACTTTGCCATTTTACAGATTATCTCAGGCACATAATATCCTTTTAGCTAACTCTCCTGCTTTTTCTAAGCACAGTAGTACTGGAATCAAGTATTTCTACTCCTAATTCAGTAACCAAAAAATAAATACCCTAAAAAATTAGCCATGGCTCCAAACATTTAGCAAAGGAAGGCCTATGCTCAGAATCAGGAAAAGAATCATGCAAAGAAAAGCCATCATGGCAGAAGGACTTGAGTTGGAGTCAAGATGCAAATTTCAAAAGCCCACCTCTGACTTTCCTAGGTCTAACTCTAAGACATTTATAGATGAGTTATAATCTGCATTATTTAGTTCCCACACTGACAAAAAACAGATCAAAACAGCATTTACTAAGCACCTATTATATGCTAGGTACTACAGTATCTGCACTGTACTAATATCCTTTTAGTGGAGGATACTAACAAAAAAAAATTTAAATGACACCTTTTCCCAGGAAGTTTACAATCTAACAGGAATGTACGTAACTACATAGGTCCCTGACATAACTGTCATAAGTCAGTAGAAAACATACAAAGTTCAGAGAAATTAGATCTTGCAGAAAAAGCCCCAAATCTGAATTATTTACACATACTTGATACCAGGCACTATAATTATATGCAGCTTGGTTAGCTTGGATGTCTCCATCAATCATCTGAGTAGATGCTAAGGTTGCATCTTCTGTGTGTATTTTTTTTTCATCTGGCTCTTCTGCCCTATTATGACAAATAAAAATAACTTAGTATTTCAAAATTATAGCCAGCAAAACAATGAAGTTCTGTATTCACTAAGTTTTAAAAAGCATATCTATGTTCTTCAGCCAGTTTAAATCAGTATAGTGAAGGAGCAATAAGGTTCTTGCCCTCAAAGAAATACTGGTACTGATTCTGGGTTATACACAACTTTGTTCTATGTAGAATCTGACTTTTAAAAATGTTTTTCCTATGTTCATAAAAATAACTTCTGAACCAAAAAGAGAACATTGGGACAATTTCTCTCATACAGGAAGGAACTGACATTCCCAATTTATGATCTGCACGGCCACAAGATCATAGATTTAGCTATCAGGGTTTTTTTTTTTAACCCTCTGTTTAATAGATAAGAAAACAGGCCCAAAGAGGTTGACTTGTGCAAGGTCATAAATGTAATAAAACATCAAAGGCAAAATTTGAACCTAGTCTTTTGAGGCCAAATCCAGGTTTATGGGTTAAAAATAAGCTTTAGAAATAAACGTTAAAAGTATTTCTTCCACTGTAATGAGCCATCTTGATCTTACAGATATTACATACCCATTTTCAGCTTTCCTTTTTAAAGAGTCTTGTTCTTTTAAAAGTATTTGATGTTCATCATAAGCATCCAAAAGCCTAAACAGGAAAAAAAATATACTGTTTTTTCCATATTTTAAAGTATAAAATAATGTAAATTATTTTTTTCTGGAAAATCTAGGTTTGCTATATTACACAAGTAAAAGATCTTCAAGCTTTGTAACAGTAATGGAAGTTTATTTTGTAGTTAGAAGAAAAAAACCTATATAATGTTAAATGAAAACCAAGAAGTTTCCAACTTGGATATTTTAACTCGCTCATATGAAGTCACATTACCAAACTTTATATTTTCTATGAAAGTGTTTTTTCAAAAACAAAACTTCACAGAATTTGTTAGCACAGGATAAACAAAATGGATGCCTAGACTAATCTTACAGTTTCTATTATAATCTATGTTATTTGTAACAAGATTTCTGGCACTTAGCAGCCTATGAATGGGAACCATTTAATAACTAAAGAACTCCTAACTTAAATCTTTATTTTTCATGATTAAAGATACTTTTATTGTTATTTGTGCCTCAAAACAAAAACTCCAAAATCATGAGTTATAAAATAAATTTTTTTATGTAATAATGCAGGTAGTACACAATAAGGAAAAATTTCATCCCAGTCATAGTTTCTTAAAGCTGCTATTTCTGAAATGCAAGCTGGACCATAATGTGTACGTATAACTTTCATTTCCTCAAGTGGCTGACATGCATTTACCTAAAATAATCATACAACACAGCCCTGAGGAATTGTGAGATACTGAGATTCATTTACTGCCTATGGAAGCTTCAACAGGGCACTATGGATCTCAATTTCTTCAACTGTAAAATGTGAAGGTTGGACTAGCGGTCCAGAACCTTTAGACCACTCTAAGGATTAGCTACTAGTACACTAAAAAATCATAATTGAAGAACCGCCGAATATCTTCATCCACCACATAAGTCTGTCTTAATGGAAGCTTAAACAACTTTTCTCTGTATCTTTGCAGTAGATTTTGGCCCATAAGCTGCAATTGTTTACAAGGTGATTTTTTTAAAACCTCAATGACTACTGAAATAAAAGATGGCCAATTGCCCACAAAATGTTTTCTGTTGCCTTTTAACTCATGGAAGAAAAAACCCCCAAAAAAACCCCAAACACTTCTGCAAAAGGCTTTTACTTGCCTCCATGAGAAATCTCTGAATCATTCTTACATTCAGTGGCAAGTTTCTTTTGTCTTTTTTATTTCATTTATAATGTGAATGTTAAAAAAAAAGTTACTCCCTACCTTTAGGTCAAGCCAAATTTATTAAAAATATACTTTTATTTTTTCTTACTCATTAAGATCCGTGATCAGAATAATTGAATTTTCTTCCCACAATGCAGATGGCATGTGCAACTACTGTTCATGTTCTGTAAGTTCACAGGAGGGGGGTGGTGGAGAAGAGAAGCACTCACTGTGCTACAGAGAATTCTCCCTTTTTCCTGACTGGCCACCTGTCATTCCTCAGCTCTACCATACAATCAGCCGTCTTCTCTTTTCCTGTCATTTATTTCCCCGAGGCTATCTTCTACTCCTGTTCTTCAGAGTTCTCCACTCAGTTACAGCCTAATCACTCCCTTCATGTGACTGACACTCATTTTTAGTTCTTTCGTGAACGTTACTGTATTCTGTGTTGCTGCCATATACCAATGATAGTAGAGTGCTGGCATTGTCCTTCATGGGAAGCTTGGATTTATGAAAAGAACTTTGTGATTTTCCAAACTCAACAGAGCAATATAGTAGCCTGCTGTCCTCCTTACATTCAATTCTGTGTGTCCCAGACACACATAGTGAGTTCTATAGGTTGTGCAAACACTTTTGGGAGTCTGGGTAACAGACGTTCTTCATCCACCTAGCATTTGCTTATGTGAATGGTCGGACCAGGCCTCTCTGAGGATACTCTTCGGTGTCCTGGAGCTTGATGCAATCAGCACAATATCATCTGCAAGCCAGAGCACCTGGACAGTCTCACCACCCACAGAGAATCCCTCCACTACAATGCAGAGCAGTTCTGGCAAGCCTGCATCTTAGGTCTCTCGTGCCTTGTCTTGAGGTTTATGACCAGAAGGTTATTCAACAGGGCTGTGCCTGTTAGATCGTTCAAGGAATCGTGAATGATAGAGACATACCCATGACAGAACCTCGTTGTAAAAAAGCGTTCCAGAGCAAATGATGTTGGTGTTTTGTTTTTTTAAATCAACAAATGACCAGTGATTATGCACAGTCTTGTATTCTCTTCATTACTTGTAAATTGTTAAAGATGTGAGTCTGCTATTCTCTACTACTACCCTCATTAAGGATGTCCTTATTTCATGTAAAAAATCTCAGATTTTGTATAAATAGGAGAGGGGGTCAATAGCCATTATTATTCCCTTAATGGCCTCCTTCAGTTGTATTAAGGTCTATGATTTTTCTCCATGCCTTTGGAATGTCTGCCTCTTTAACTACCTTATATATTCCTCACAAATGGATCAAAGTATAATAATTAACATCAGTTGTGTCCACTTCCTATTTTTGACAGTCCATCACTAGTTTAAGTAATTAAGATTAAATTGTTTCAACTGTACATCATCTCACTCTTTTTTTTTTTAAACTAAGTCTAATGAGTTGGTTTCCAACTACAGAGTCAACTCAGTGATACTCCCACGTCGATAACAAATTTATCTTCTGTCTTAAAATATACTCTGTTTTGGCTTTTACAGTGCTAGCTGGTACTCACCATTTCTGGTGCCTACCAATTTTTTTTTTAAGAAAGTGTAACCAAGGTGAGATTTTTGTGTAATATATAAGCTTCAGCCTTCCTGAACTTTTCTTTTTTCATATATTTCTTCCACTTTTCTACTGAAGTTATCAAATATAAAGAGTGGTATGTTGAGTTACTCTATGGGTCTTACCAAGTTTTTTTGTAGATATTCTTTAGGTCTTCATTCACAACTAATACTGATGCATAACACTGGGACTGCATTAACGTTGTAGGATATTCAAGCAGCAAGGATTAGGAACTGGACCTTTGAGTTCAGTGGTATACGGAATGCCTTTCATACCATTGTAGGTCAGGACCATCCCTGTAAATTATGGTCCTAAAGAGCTAGCTAATAACTTTTTTATATTGATGTAGTAAAACATGCATTTCTTAAGCACCTATACTTATTAGCCCTTATGCTAGGTGCTAAGCATACAGAAAAAAAAAAATTAAAACCCCTATCCTCAAGGATTTAACATTCTCTCAGAGGAAAAAGCATGTTCATAACAACATATACAAAATATTTAACAAGGTGCTTTGATAGAGCAAGGGCACTGAGCTGGGCATGGGAATCAGGACAGGCTTTGTACAGAAGGCAATGTTGGTGGAGTTCTGAAAGTACAAGGCATTTCAAGAGGCAGAGAGCAGAAAGAAGTACATTTTCTGCATCGAGATCAGCCAATGCAACGATATGGGAACAGATGGTGGAGGTCTTTAACTAGGATGGCAGCCATGTGAACAGGGAAGAGTTTGGATGTAAAAACTGATGAGGATGCAAGTGGAAGTAGACAGTAGTAACTGCTAACTTAATGGATATATATACATATATAGATTGATTGAGAGAGTGAGGAGTTAAGGATAACACTGAAAACTGGAAGGATGGTGGTATCCCTGAAAGAAATAGTAAGTTTGAAAAAAGAAAGGAGTAATCTGTGGAGGGAAAGATAATAAGATATTTTTCACATGTTAGGTCTGCAGACCATTCAGTTTAAGATATCCCATAGGTAGCTGGTAATATGGGACTGGAGTTTAAGACTAAAGCTAGATAAATAGATGGGGGAATCTTCTGTATTAAGTATGACAAACCCTTTGGAGCTAACAAGGTCACCAAGAGAGTATAGAGAAAAAAGGAGAGCCCAAGATAGACCTTGAGATACACCCACAGTTAAGGGGTATGATATGGATGATGGGACTCCCATATGGAAAGTGATTTGGGCCTAGAAAACATGCTAGAGGTAGCTACGTGGCAAAGTAGATGGAGCTTCAGCCTTGGAGTCAGGAGGACCGAGTTTAAATTTGCGCTCAGACCCTTGACACTTACTAGCTATGTGACCCTGGGCAAGTCACTTAACCCCAACTGCCTCACCAAAAAGGAAAAAAAAAACACGCTGGACTGAACAACATTATTCTTACAGGATACTACCTGATTGTGAATCAAGTAATATCACTTCTCTGAAGAACAGGGCACTTTAGGGCAATGGAAAGACACCAGGTGAGTGTAAATAGGCTGCTGCCTATGAACTGAGGCCAAGAAACAATAAAATAGAAAGATATCACCGAGATATGGAACTATGAATGAGAGGCTGGGATGCAAAAATAAATAGTAAAAAAAGTACTAACAGACTGCATACAGTACTGCAATATCACAGGGCCTGACACAAGCCCATGTCATGTTAGGCATCTCCTTCAGTATGATTTACAGGAAAAGATGGGGAAGAATTACATAACAGGAGAAAGAACTCTGGATTTTACTCACAGAACTTGGGTTAGAATCCTGGCTGTGCTAACTTATTAAGTAATATTGATAAAATAACTTAAACCAGGGCAGCTAGGTGGGGCTCAGTAGATACAGCACTGGCCCTGTAGTCAGGAGGACCCGAGTTCAAATCCAGCCTCAGACACTTGATACTTCCTAGCTGTGTGACCCTGGGAAAGTCACTTAACCCCAATGCCTCAGCAAAAATAAATAAAATAAAAAAATAAAAGTGAAGGACATTAATCTAAATTCCACGAGGAAGTTGAAGATTTTATAAAGGAAACCAGACCTCTTGCCATTATGGTTTCTATTTAAGTAAAAGGATGAGATCACTAGTTTTAAAGCAATGATGAACCTATTAAAATGTTTAAAACCGAGCCTTATCACACACACACACACACACACACACACACACACACACACACACACACACACACACACAAATGCACACTTTACTCTTTTAAAATATAAATTTTGGAGCAAAGAAGAGTTACATAAGAAAACTTAGTTTTTACTCTAAATATTGCTTTTTCCCTAATGTTCTTTTCTTAATGAACTTCACAAACATCAGGCAACATAATGAACATTTTTATGTACAAAGAACAGAAACAAAAGATTATACACAAAACTATGAATTTCTGCTACAGATGTTTTTCTTCTGAAAGTATATACTAAACATAACACGATTATGCTAACACTGCTTGTGTCTTCTTCTGAAATTCCTTCTGATCTGTTTCATCAACACTTTTTATTTCTTACTCTTCTTTACTAACCCCCCAAACCATAACAAACATTTTTTAAGGCAATGAGATTTTTTTTTTTGGGCACAACTTGTGATTTCACTGGTATAGGGTAATTCTTGGCAAGGTAATTCCCTCTACCCATAAAATTTTATAAATGTTGTGCAATTCAGAGGGGGCACTAAGAGCTATTGTCCCAACTTCAGTTCACGTTCTAACCGTCAATTACTCTATTACTGAAAGGGCCTAAAAATCATTAACTACAGTCTCTCCTCACTACAACAATCCCTATCAGGTGGCTACAAGATTAAGCTATCTCACTCTCTAGTAGAAACCTCCAATGGCTCCCCAATGTCTTCAAAACTCTTAAATCTTAATAAAAATTAATTAAAAAATAAAAAATCTAAAAATTTTAAGACCCTACAATAAGTAAATGTGGCCACTAAACGTAACCAATTGAATCCCCCACTGATTAGCCAAACAAGCCCTTCACTCTAGCTAGATTTGTTTCCTTAATGACTATCAATTTAACCAAATTCATTCCTACCTCTTTCTAAAATGGAATAACATTCCTTCCTTTTTCCCCCAAGCACCTTCAAAATTCAACGAGGTTGGCCAAGTTCATGTTGCTTTCCCTAACCCTTCCAGGATGTTTCATTTTGGCTCTTAAATTGCAAAAACGAAATATGATAAAACCTTTTTGTATTATGTGTGTATGTACCCAACTTGGGAGCTGATCTTTATATTGTATTGCTTTTTTCTCTTCTAAAGGCCCAAGAACGCCGAACAGAGAAGGCATTTAATTATTTGTTTTGAATTTAGTTGCAATTCCCAGGGGAAGATGATGCGAACTAACAAAGCTTTCTCCCAAAGCTCCTAAAAGCCCTAAGAGCTCTAATAAAGCCAAACGAAATATTACACTTATCCCTTCATCCTCATTAATGTAAATACCTACATAATTAAGTGATGATCGGGAGATCTTTTTGCTGGGTTATAAACTAAAAAAATTTCTGGAAAACTGACTTTTAGGAAACTGAGGATTCAGAACTTTGGAGACAGATAATATCTTCACCTCCAATATTACTTTTTAAAAAAGGAGAGGAACAGAAAGGGAAAAATAGAGGAGTAATGAAGGAAGAAAGTGGCACACATTCCCTTAAGTCAAAGGAACCAGTCTTCATTTGAATTTTTAAGGGCAAAGTTTTAAGCAGAAATCAGAAACAAAATTACCATTGATATAATCCTTGGCTTTAGTGTGGAGGTTTTTTTAATATTTAATTTAGAAGGAAAAATATCTACAATGACAGATGCTTAAATTTTTAGAAATCAATGTTCACTTATTCATCTTTCAAGTAAATAGCAGACTTAATGTCTTACTTGTTCACATCAGAACCAAAATCTTCTAGAAATTCCACTTTTCGCTGAGAAAATGTAATTCTCATTTTAATAGGCAATGAACCATGTATAGCCTTGTCAAAACAGGTGAGGATATTGTCTTCATTTTGTTTGAGGTCCCCACTATATTCCATTTCAAGTAAGTTGAGGTATAATTTTGTGTTCTCCTGTAGAAAAAAACACCAATAGTATTAACTGCCTAAAATACAGAGAGAATAACTTAAAAATGTTCAATAATAATTAGAATAGTAACATTGTTGTATAACTACATTGTAAGAAAATCATATAAATACCACATAAAATCAGAGAGTAGGGAGAGGGCAAGAACACCTACATACACAGAAAATTAAATACACACAAAGTAATGTCACGCAGAGCAGACTAGTCACAAGTAGGGGACTCAGAAAAGACCTGTGTAGGAAGTGATGTGTGAGTAATTAAAATCAATCTTTAATGATCAGAGAATAAATTTCTATTTTCTCCTTCAGGGAATTAGAAAGGAGCCATGGGAGTTTACCAAATAGCAGACGAAATGATTACAGTAATGCTTTCGGCACTAACACAGCTGTAGAGAGAATGTGTTGGAGAGACATGAGACTACAGACAGACTACTGCACTATTCCGAGGAAGAAGTGATGAGGGCCCTGGACTGAAGCAGCCAAAACAAAACAAGTTCCCATTCTCTAGAAATATATATTCGAAAATATATGGTATAATAAAAATCATTCCATGTAAAAAAATAAGCTTCAGCATACAGTCATACTACCTATTGGAAGTAACATACAAAAACATGGCTATTGCTACACTTAGTATATATTTTTAACAAGTGTTCTCAAAGGTTTTTTTCTTGCTGCTTTTAAATAAATAATTAGTACTTTTGCTGTCAAATTCCTTAAGAATGGGCAAACAGTTAATGTCCCATCCCTGGCTACACTTTTGTTTTCATCTATAATTGATTCTTCCACTCAGGAGTTGAATTAACATTAATATGTGACAAATGCTATGTGTGTGTGTGTGTGTGTGTGTGTGTGTGTGTATGTATGTATGTATGTATGTATGCATGCATGCATGTGTGTGTATTTTAATATTAATTGGACCTCTAATTTTACTGGTAAAGGAAACTCCAGGTGAATAAATTCCTTCTATTCATTTAGAGACTGGCATCTGGCATGAAACTTGGGAGTCTACAGAGCTGCCCACAGCCCTGAAAGTGAGGATGACTAAGGTAGAAGCCAAATCCAGGACTTCTCAACTCTTGACATCAACTCTCTAACCACTTAGATGATGCCTTCCCCTTCTCCCTCTCTCATATTTGTTTAATGGTTAAGAACAAAAAGGGCAACATCAGCTTAGAGGGACTGGTGTCTTCATGTAGTAATAAAACACATTACATACAGACCAAACTTGTCATCACTGTTGCCAGTAGTCATTTACTTATTTGCCTATTCCAAAATCTGAAATATATAGAAACACATACTTTGTCTCTTTCAATGGCTTCCAAGAGCACTTTTCTTGATTTTGGAAGGTTCTTCTGTATCTTGAAAAGATGTCGGGCTAGTTTTATAGCATAAAATGAGGATTCATTATTTGATTTGGCATTCTTAACAGCATCCTGAAGCAAATGCTCAGCTTCTTCCATGTTTCCATGCCGACGCTCTAAACTCACTCTTCTCAAACGAACCATTGCCAATCCTAGAACACATTCCTCAAACGTTCTTAGAATGCTTCTTGCTTCATTTATATTACCTAGAAACAGCAAGTAAATATTTAATATTTTTAAATGCCTTCTCCTACAGCCTCCCCATTCTTTTGATTTGTCTTTGAATTTTTTACTTTAAATTACAAATAAAATTTCAACTGATGTTGCAAATTCTTACCCTGCTGTTCTTCAAAAGCAGCCCATAGCATGTGAACCATGGGTTTCTTTGGAAGATGTATAGTACAAGCCCTGCTGTAGACATGTCTCACTCCTTCGATACTATGGTTTTCCATGTACTTGGCATACTACACACAGAAACAGAGTAAACACTGAATAATTTATGATTGAGTAGGTCATTAAATACATTTCAGAACAATAAAATTCTATTTTTAAACCCATTCAGCACCTTTATTGAACCACTAGACTAGTTTCTGTAAGGAAGGACGAAGAGAGGCAACGAGGTTGGCATATGCAGCAGTCAAATCTGGTTGCAAGCAGACCATCTCCTAATGCAACAGATATAGTTACATGAACAACATTCGACAGAGGTACAAAAAAGGTTAGTCACTAGATCAATGTTTGTAATCTATTAAAATTCATTAATATGTAATTTACTCACCTTAATCCAAAAGTCCTCATAGAGGGCACAAGATATGACACATCTTTCAAAGAGAACAACAACACGTTCATGAGTTCCATTTTCAATTTCAAATTCTAAATATTCTTTCCAGTTTTTCAGTTGTGCCTTTTCCAATGGTTTCACATGGAAATAAGGTCTTTTAATCTGAAATTTAAAAAGGAGCATGGCAGTGCAAAAATGCTAATACTGTTTGACGCAGAAATGTCAAATGTGAATTCAATAATATAAGTTAAATTCTGGTCTACTGTTTAAAGATATTTCCTGCTCTAACATTCTGTGGGGTTTTTTGGTATTTATAATCCCCTGTACTTAGTATAATGCCTTATAGGCATTAACACATTTTAAGGTAATAATTTAAAATTAAATATTAAGCTATCCAACTGGGATAATGAATAATTTTTAAAAGATTACTCATGAACTCTTGGCTTTTCATCAACAGCTAATAATTATGATCTAGTTCAGCTTGGACTAATTTATATAACTTTAATCAATACTCTAAGACCTCTAATAAAATCTTTGTTGACTCATGTACCTACTGGAATTCAAATAAATTATTTTAATGATATTTATATTCAGGACAGATATTTCAATTAGCAAAGTAGATATATCATCTTTATTTCCTAGTTAAGTAGGCACCAACATAAAAACATAACAGTAAGTCAAGTTTCAATACATCATATGTATTTCAAAAAAAGAACACTTACACCTTCTTCAAAGGTCCACCTTTTGCTAACCTCATGTTCATTATAATTAAACATTTCTTGATGAATCTCAATGATTCTATGTCTCATGTTTTCTATTTCAGTGATTAGCTTAGGAGAGAAAAAGAGTTTAGAGTTAAAGAAATTATAGTAGCATACCAACAGATTTCAATTTATACCAGCTTACTTTGATCTCAGAACTATAGTTATACAAAACTATTTGTTCCACCAGACACACTATCAGTGTTAAAATTCACCCCTTATGGGATTTTCAGAAAACATTATTTTTGCATTTCTTGAAGTTTCTAAATCGTACTTTATTAACAAGAAATTCTTTTGCTCACTATCTTTAAAAGGTAAAATTTATCTTCTATGCTACATTAATACAAAATACTTGTTCCTATAAACAGATTATATAAATTACACTTAAACCTAAAAGTTGTAGCTGAGGAATTGGTCACTATCTACCATCAAGAGAAGTGAAAAAACTTGTTATTTTAATAATTTCACTTTCAAAATTACCCAAACTGATGGGCAAAAGGACAGTTTATAATTCAATACACTGTATCTGTAATGAATAATCTGCAAATTGAGTTTATCATATACTCAGGGAATAACTTTCACTTTTTAATTACCTTTGCTGGGTCAGTTATATCTTCAATTCCAGAGGGTAAATCATCACCAGGGGGGCCATCATCACCACTGTGTCCATTTACAGAGGCCAGTTCTCTTCGTAGCTGAATAAACTGCTCACTAGTTAAAAGATCTCGAGGCAAGTTATTCTGTACATGTTCTTTAAACCTAAAGATGCAATAATACCTATATTGAAAGACTCAGCCCATCTTACTTTTTATAGAAAACATGCATTGACTTTTTAATATTTCAGAATTTAAAAAAAAAAGGAGATATTAAGTCTGATAAAACTTCAATGTTATCAGAGGAAGTTATTACAAAAAAGAGCCAGTATCATAAATAAAAACATAATGGTATAAACTAACACAAACACAAAATTGCACTAATTATGACCAAGATTCATTTGTATAAATGCTATAAATCAAATATAAATTTGATTTCACTTTTGTTGTATACTTTTTAAAATACTCAGATGGGTCATTATCTCACAAGGGGCTTTTTCTTTAGAAAGCACTGTTCAAATCAGTCAAAAATTTTTAAAAATTCTTAAAGCTATTCATCTATTTACTAAATTCAGAGGTAAAAAGATTCCCTGGGAAAAGAATTAAAATAAATGTTTTTGTCCCATGCCACCTCAAGTTAATATCAAGATAAAAGCAAAAGAGACAAGGGATGTGTATTACAAAATAAATTAATAATCAAATTAAGTACTGTATAGAAATGCTTTTTGTCATTCAGTCACTTTTCAGTTGTGTCTGACTCTTCATGACCCCATTTGGGGTTTTCTTGGCAAAGTTACTGGAGTGATTTGTCCTTTCCTTCTCCAGCTCATTTTACAGATGAGGAAACTGAGGCAGAGTTAACTTACCCAGGATCATCTAGCTAGTAAGTGTCTGAGGCTAGATTTGAACTCAGGAAGATAAGTCTTCCTGGCTTCAAGCCCAGTGCTCTATCCGCTGCACCACCTAGCTGCCCATATAAATGCTATATATGCTTATAAATAAATGCACATATTATCTATGTACACTATAATATGAATACTACTGAAAAAATATTAGGTAAAGAACACGTTATTTAACATAAAGATTCCCATCTAAAAAGCTTAATTTGTTTGACATTTACCAGGACGAATCTTGTTTTAATAAATATAATTCTAACATCTATCCCTATCACTTCCTTGCTATTCTGGCAAACACTATCTCACAATGTTTTGATGATATCAACACTGCAATTCTTCTGAATAAAAATTTCATATTATGGGTTTATTTAGAAAAATAGATACAAGTATTTATCAAGTGTATCTGACTCTTCACATTTACCAATCACAATATATTTCTTGGGCAGGGGAGGGGACCCAGAGAGAAAAAAAGAGAGGACACTGTGTTTGTGTATCTGTATAGATACAAAAACATATCTACACATACACTGTATGCATGTATATAAATACCAGCAGCAAAAGAGAAAAATCTGAATTCAATTCCTAGCTTCTTCCCCACTCAGAACTATATTATTATAACATGTCTTAGACCATGTTATTCAATCTATTCAGTTACTATCCTGAAAATGCTTTTGACCACTTTGAAAAACACTAATTATAGGATTTTTAAAAGTAAGTTGGTTATAATAGTGATTAAGTAGCAGAGTCCAATAATATTTCCATTATAATGGTACTAATTCAAACATTTAGATGAAAATACTACTCACAATTATTTTTAGAGCACCTTAAAACCCTTAGTTTTTCTACTTACCTCTGGAAATGATGACTATAGAGTTGTGTTGGAATACCAAGAATACGATCATATATAGTTGTAACCTCTCTCAGATTTCCCTGTTCATTTTCCCAGTTTATGTACATTTCCCATAATCTGTCAGATCGGAAATCTGTTCCTGCAGCTAAAACAGCATGCTCGAAAGTTCTGAAAAATTAAATTATTACTAAAATTATCTGTAATGCTATCATCTTGTAAATTTTTACAAGCTTATAAGATAATCCTAATATTAAAACTTACTTTCAATTAAATCTTATGTAACTAAAAAAAAAAAGTCAAATTCCATGAAGGAAGTAACAGAACATAGCAATTATCCCTCAGATCAAACAGCACAAAACTACACACATTGTATACACATTTAATTCAAAAGGAAACTTAAGTTGCAAACTGAAATATGATATAAGCAAATGCAATAATCCTGAATGCAAAGTCCTTTTGGTTGAAGTAATTATCTTATTTATTCTTGCACTTAGCACAAAGTATTGCACATATAGATGTTTAATAAACATTTGTTGAATGAAGAAACTAATGTAACTGCAGAGTGAGTTCTCTAACGTTAGATTTTAAAATTAAATACAAAAAAAAGAAAAAGCACATAATCAAAGATATATAAAATGACTGAAAAATGGTTAAGTGTCACAAAAGCAAAAACTCAGAATGAACTAAGATCTGCAAAAAGAACTAAAGACAACATGGTATTAGCTTGGACCCACAGCATGGCAAATTTCAGATTATAGAAAATTATCTTGATGACAAAAACTGAAAGAATATAAACATCATATAAAGACAGAAATTATACCTAAGGAAGAGAAATAGTTAAAAAAAAAAAAGAAAAAGAAAAAGACCATAAATTCAAGTAATTGAGACCACATGAATTACATAAAGCATTCCAAGACTATACATATTGTAATCACTGTCAGAATCTTTGAGAAAATGCAACAGGAGAGGTGCTTTAAGGCTTAGGCGTTTGTTGGTTTGTTTTTTTTAAATACTAACTTATTTACAAATGTTCCCTCAATTTATCAGACATGAGAAAGGGGTACCATTCTGAAAACTACAAACAATTTAGCTTGATGTCAACACCGGGAGAAATTCTAGAACATACTTTTAACAATTTAAATTTCCATGCATTTTTACTTTTCAGCATTCACTTTTACAAGATTCTGAGTTTTAAATTTTCTTCCCATTCTTCCCCTTCACCCTCCCCAATACAGCATGCAATCTGATATAGGCTACACATGTACAATCATATTAAAAATGTTTCCACATTAGTCATGTTATAAAGAAGAATTAGAACCAAAGGGAAAAACTGCAATAAAGAAAAAAAAAAGAGATAGAGAAAATAGTATGCTTCAATCTGCATTCAGACTCTATCAGTTCTTTCTCTGGATATGAACAGTATTTTCCATCATCACTGCATTGCTCAGAACAGCTAAGTATATCAAAGTTGGTCACTGCACAATGTTGCTATTACCGTGTACAATGTTTCTAGAACATATTTTTGAAGAGAGTTTGTAGTTTTATCTAGAAATTAAAGCAGATCACTAAGAACCAACACTGACTTATTAAAAGTATCTTATTTTGTTTTACAGTCAGAATACTGATCGAAAATAATATTTTTAGCAAGGTATACCTATATATTTCTTTTTTCTCTTTCCTGTTAGAATGCAAACACCTTTTAAGCAGGGATTATACAATTCATCATATCTGTATTTTCAGTGCCTCATATGGTGTCTGGCACCTAGTAGGAGCTTAATGCTTGTTGAATGATTTAAATGCTCTTTAATACATTTCAATTAGGATACTTCAATTAGGAAAAAAAATGCAAGTTGGTTAAACAATCATCTCCAAAGCTGATTAACAGATATCAATTTAGAAGTAGGTTTCTAATGTCAAGCCATGAAACTCTGTATTTACAGGATCAAAAGATTTCAGGCAGAGAGCTGAGAGGCACTTCAGAAGCCAGCCAGTCTAACATCATCATTCCATAAATGAGGGCACTGAAGCCCAGGGACATTAGATGACTTGTGGTCACAAACGTTTCCAAGTATCTTGTCACAATCAACATGTTTATCAAATGTTTGGATGAGGACACCTATAGTATGTTACTAATATAAAGCCAAACTCAATCTCCAATATAAGTAAGAATTTAGATCCAAAATTACCTAAACAACAATAAGGTGACATATAACAGGGGTAGATGTTTGGGTTAATAAGTTAGCATTTATATAGCACTTTGAGGTCTGCAAAATGCTTTACAAATATCCACCTCATTTTATCCTCACAACAACTAGAAAGATAAGTGCTATTATTGTCCCCATTTTACAAATAAGGAAACTGAGGCAAGAAAAATTTAAATGCTTTGCCAAAGGTCACACAGATTTGAAAGTAGGTCTTACTGATTGCAAGTCCAATGCTCAATATCCACTACAGCATCTAGCTGCCTTAAAAAGAAATCAAGCGCATAAAAGCAGATGAAACTTGGCTTAACAGCTGTTCAAATAAACAAGACCAGAAGGTTGAAGCTCATAAGGCTCCATATAAATCAACAGTCCAAAGAAATTTTAGGTTGTCATTAACAAAAGTAGAGGGTCCACACATCAAGGAAACTAAGACCTCCATTTGGAGTTACAGACTGTATTTTTAAATTTTCAATGAAAAACTAGAAAGATTCAATAGAAAGGCAACCAGAATGATGTAGAAACCAGCTCATTTGAAGAACATTTGAGGGAAACAGGGAAGTTTAAAGGAAAACTGTTTTAAAAGGCTGTCTTCTGATGGAGTCTGATGCAGATCAAAAAATACTTTTTTCCTTTTTCTTTTTTCCTTTTCTGTGTTTTTTTTCCACAATATGGCTAATATGTAATCATGCTTTGAATGACTGCATATTTATAATCTATATCAAACTTGTCTTTTCAAGGAGCAGGGAGAGAAGAGAAGGAGACAATTTGGGACTCAATTTTTAAAAAAATGTTAAAAATTTGTTTTTACATGTATTTCCTTTTTTTTTTAAGATAAAGTTGTCTTCTAAGAGGAAGCAAAATTAGTGCAAATGAAGGAAAAATTAAGGTAGATTTTGGCTCAGCATAAGGAATAGTTATCCCAAAATGAAACAAGTGATCATATGAGGACGTGATGCAAATTGCTCTAGACTAGAGTACCTCTGAAATCCCTTTCAGTCTGAGATGCTGTGAAACAATTGTAATGAATACATAAAAAGAATCCTTTAACCTACGTGGAAGAGAGTATGGACACTCTGGTACGGGAACTCTAACAGTGTTATGACTCATCTACGTATGCCTTATCCAGAGTCACATAACTAATAAGTTTCAGAAATGGGATGCAAACCCAGGTTTTCCTCACTCCAAGTCTATCATGGCATACTGTCTGCCTATAACTGTATCTACATGTACTCAAATAATCAAATGGATCTACAATCCCTTTGATTCAGGAGTTCCAATAACACAAACTGAAACACATTATATTTAAATTTATAGATACCTACAGATACATACGTCCAGTAGTATATAGTATACCAGTGGGTAGAGATATGCATATATACAGGCACACATTTGCAATTATAACAACTGCATTCAGAGGGTTAACCAAAATAAATTAATTGCTGCAATAAGGAGACCAAAAGAGCCCTAAAGAGTGCCTACAATCATACATATGGCTTTATGCCAGACGGAGAGAGATAGCTGCTAAAAGAAATGATCAGGTATGGGCAAACTATTTTGCACAATCTTACTAAAAAGAATAACGGATAATTATGGGTAGTGCCATCTATTAAAGCATATAGAAACAGTTGAGAATAAAACCACTTCAAAGAAAACTCGACATGACAGTCAAATAAACAGTTACTCCAAGAACATCTAAAAGAAGGACAAGACAGAAAACACAAGGAAAAATAACAGGAAAAACAGAAATCCATGCTAAAGGCAACCCAATTATGCGGACCTTGATGGACTTAAATAAAAAGTATCTAAAGGAGTCAAAAATGCCCAAAGCAAAAAATCTGACTTAAACAATATTGAAAAAAGGTAATCAAGAGAATAACAATGACTACTGATCTATATCGCTCTCTCCATTTATACAAAATATTCCTGAGACTCTTTACATGAATTAAGGACATCTGTGACGAGGGTAGCAGTAGATAATAGAAGACTCACAACTTTACCAAGTCATAAGTAATAAAGAGAATATAAGACTGTGAAGAATCACAGTGGTCATTTGTTGATTAAAAAAAAAACCCCACCAATAACATCATTTATTTTGGAAGGCTCTTTTACAACAAGATTCTGTCATAGATATGTCTATATCATTCATGATTCCTTGAAAGATCTAACAAACAACCCTGTTGAATAACCTCCTGGTTATAAACATCAAGACAAGGCACGAGAGACCTAAGATGCAGGCTTGCCAAAACTGCTCTGCACTGTACTAGAGGTGATAAGGCCCAGCCAAGGGATTCTCTGTGGATGGTGAGACTGTCCAGGTGCTCTGGCTTGCAGCCTAGAACAATCTACATTATGGGTCAGTTTCATATTGATGAAATCAGAGATCCGTTGGAGCATGTATAATAAACACACACTCCCTCTCTGTGTAGTATCTTATTTGTGCCTAAGATTTCTGCAGATGCTTTTAAAATGTAGGACTCTCATGAATCAAAACTGGAAATCTGACAATTTACTCCAGAAATATGACAGTGCAAAAAGAGATGGACTTAGAAAGAGAATAATTAGACACAATTCCTCAAACATTGTGGAACTCTGAGAAAAATCACTTCACGTAAACCCTTGGTAGCCTCACATGAAGAACCAAGATGATAATAGCACCTACATCATAGGATATTCAAAGGGCAGGTAAATGCATGAAGAGACAGAGGATCTGAGCATACCTACCATTTACGCAGACCCTCGGAAGGCCTGAAGCCAGTACAACTTTATATGTCCTACTAGCCCATCAGGGTTGGATGAGAAGCTAAAGTCAACTTCCTGTGGTTAGCTATGCAAGAAGGAACTAGAAAGGGGGCAGTATGGAGACTCTAAGGTTAAAAGATGACTCAAGCAGAATCCAAGCAGTAAGGCGAAAACTAGTTTTACAGTCTTTAGTCCCAGGTCTTAGTCCAAGGCCAGGGCTGTGGA